AATTATCATTTACAGTGAATCTAGCCTTAAAAAGCTGGAGAACAGAATGATGTGCTCAGTTCTCAACTGACTAAAGTGAAGTCTCTATCACAATGGTCGATTTTTCAAAAGTGGCCTACTGTTTAAGAGGGGAAGTACCCGTAGAGATAGAAAAATTACTTTTCGTGATTTATTTTTGGGAAAATGAAAACCCAGCACATAAAATTTGTAATTATACCGTACATATTTTGGAAGATGATTTAAAACTTTTTTTTTTTTTGTTTTTACCTAAAGGAACTTTGACTTTGTATCCAAATGAAGGTTTATGTTGTTAAACAAATCTTTGGAAAATGTGTGAACCCAACTATAATCGTTGACCAATATTTTATGAAACTATGAATAATCCATGCCGAAGTTTTTGAAGATATCTCGTCAAATGAAAATGCTTTCCATACAAGCACTTGTTTACGATCGCTCAGTTTGTATGGCAGCTATATGCTGTAGTGATCCGATATCGGCTGTTTCGACTAACATGTAGCTTAGCTAGAAGAAAAGGGAGTGTGCAAAATTTTAGATCGAGATCTCAAAATATGAGGGAGTAGTTGCCGTACATACAGACAGAACGGACAGACAGATGGGCATGGTTAAATCGATTAGGCTCGTCATGCTGATCATTTATGTATATATTTTTTCGGGTATTCGACGGTACCTTTAGGGTATTACAAACAGCGTGGCAAACTATATATAACTGGTATAAAAAAATAATATTACTTTTTTTTAGTGGAAGACAAATTGAGCTCTCGAGGAACTCGTACAACATCTCAGATAAAAATTAAATTATAATTGTCAAACTAAGAAAAGATTTTCTAAATAGCGAGTATACCTTGGTAGCTAATATTAATCAACGCGAATATATGTAAAAGAGAAGACCATAAGATAAGACAGCAGATATCTTCTTTATATACCTTATATATGATATTTTCCATCAATAGTTATTGCAGACAAAAGATAATATTTGCTAAAGAACTCAGTCCACACTTGAGACCAATTACTAACGATTACGCTATTAAGAAGCTTATAAACCGTTAAGCTGCACTTTTAAGTGTGAGAGCTTTTACACACTTCTTAAATTTTAAGCGCATTCACTTCTGAATAATATTCGTATGAGCATGTGTATATGAATGTGTTTGCATGTGATAAAGTAATTTCGTATATGTACATTTAAAATTTTTAGAGTAATATGCTACATGAAATTATATATGTATGTCTGTGTTTTTGACGAAAAGTGCGCAATGCACTCAGCCATTTCGCCCGTAGTGAATAAGTGCTTTATTTGTGTTAATTCAATTTTTGCGCCGCAAATGGACAGCGGCGGCAAAAAACTTTGAAGCTCCTATTGCTAACAGATGCAATTTTTTATGAGCCCATGTAAAAATACACATATAAATGTATACATATTTATATATGTACACATAAGTAGAATTTATGCACGCTTTTGCTATGCCACTCAGCGCGGCAATTTCATTTTCTTTTTTCTTGTTTTTCGTTTATTTTTCCTTATTGTCTCGATGCTGTGTCTGCCACTTTTCATAGAGCTGCCTTGCTGTTGCATTTCAGCAGAGTTAATATTTATAGAAATGTGCGTTTGTATGTGGTTGTGTCTGTGTGTGGGTGTGTGCACATTTGAAATTCTCTTTAACTGAATTTTTGTGTTCTGTGTAATTTTCTGTAAACGCCCATGCCAACCAGTTGTCGGGTATCTTCTTGCGCTCACTAACTCACAGTCAGTGGGCTGCACTTTTTAGCGTACACACATACCGTATACATATGTATGCGGTCACAGTTATGTACTCTCATATGTCTGTATAAGTAATATGTACTTTTTTTCCATCTCTCCCATATTGCGCTGTTGTCCAGTTGATGCATGCAACAGACACTTTGAGCATACATCGGCGCACACACACAAACATATTAATTCACATACACTACACATATGCAGCTCTTTCGCAAAGTGCAATTTATAGCATACAATCCGGCGCCAATGTGTGTTGCACTCTTCTCACCCTTCCACTCATACTCTACCTTCATACTCGCCTTTCCCTTTGCGCCAATCATTGTGGCCGCTTTAAATGCTGTTGGTCAGTGAATTTCAAACGTGTTGCTCACTCGGTTCTCCTCCTCTCCCCCCGCAGCTTGGCGTTTCAATTTGTATTTGTGTTTACGCTTGTATATTCATTTAAGCTCTTAGCTTGACTTGCAGCAGCTTTTACAATCAAGTTGGCAGAAAATATTTTTAATTATAAACTGAAATATTAAAGCGTGAAATTTCGACAGCGCAGATTGTGAATGAATCGCCAGTTGTTGCTCGAAAATAATTACGGTGGATTGAACAGTGCAGACAAGGTACAAGTAAGGTGGGATTGGGCGTTATCTGCGCTAAAGTAGTGGTGAAACTTAAATTATAAACAGAATACTAATGTACATGAGCTGGTGTGTTTCTTCTTATTTCATGTCGCTGGATATGTGGCGTTATGATAACAAATAAATGAATAAGTTAGTGAACATTTTAAGTTGTTAAGTAGTTGAAAGGAAGTAACTTAAACATATTTTAGATGAAAATTTTTCATATAACTAAAAATTTGTTATTTGTAGTTTTCCCGGGTGATAAGTTCTTATTATTGGTGGTTTTGTTTCGCTACTGTTCAATGCATGGAGGATTCTAAGTAGCGCTCCAAAATTTCTTCAAGTTTAGTCGTATAGTATATTAATAGTGTAACCCCCCACCACAGAGAGAGAGGCTGAGTTGATTTCTATAATATTTAAAATTATACTACCAAACTCGAGAATCTTGAGAATGCTTACAACTGATAATGTGTTTGAAAAAGGGCTGCCACCTGTTTAAAATTTTTAAAATATACTTCATTTGAGAAACGATTACAATAGTAATATCAAACTCAAATGATTCAATTTTTTACAGCTGATAACATTTGCAGAGAGTTGCCACTTGTTTAAATTTTAAAAATATATAATTCGTAGGAAAATCGTAACCACAATGTTAGTATCAAACTAAATTAATCAATCAAGTTTTTAATATTTTCGGAAGAAGGTTGCCATTTGTTTAAAAATTTAAATTCAATAAAATTAATAAAGAAACTGATTATTGCAATATGAGCATAAAACGTTGAAACAATATGTAATTTTACAATTTACAATACTTTTTTAAAGAGTTGCCACCTGTTAAACTTGAATATTTAGTGAAACTTTTATATAAAATAATCTTCTTAATAGCTGTTACTTGATTTATACTCAGTTTGGTTTGCCATTTCATAGCACTGCGGAACAACATTTGCAACTCGTACAAAACAATGGACATCTAATCCGATTTACACAAGAAAATTTTGATTAGCGATGAAGCTCACTTTTGGTTGAATGGGTTCATTACATGCTATTGTTGAGACGCCGTTACATCCTCAAAAAGTCAATATTTGGTGTGCTCTATGGGCAGAAGGAGTCCTTGGTCCATATTTCTTCCCTAATTTTAAAGTCAACGTGGTAAGCTATAGAGCCAAGATTAATGACTTTTTCGTGCCTGGTTCCAACAAAACGGCGCTAAATGTCACACAACCAATGAAACAATAAATTTATTAAAAGCAACTGTTGCTGAGAGCATTATCTCGCGTCTTGGGACTGTGTAGTGGCCTACCATATCGTGCGATTCAACAGTTTTAAAACTCTTTTTTTTAAGGTTATGTGATGTCGCTTGTCTATGCAGATAAGCCCGAGACGATTGACGTTTTGGAACAAGATATTCGGCGCGCTATTGCTGGCATATGGCCCCAATTGCTGCAAAAAGTGAACGAAAGTTGGGCCTCTCGGTTGGAATTTATATGAGCCAGCTGAAGCGGCCTCTATACTCATGGTCATAACACTAAACTATATGCGTTATATACCTTCTTGAAAACCACATGCTTGAAAAAAACCTATAAACCACGGTTCGTACAATCAAAGAGTAAACAAATTTTTACATACAGTTTTTCAATTACCTTCCCTTCACGTATTCGTTTTACTAAAACTCGTAGATTAAGGAAGATTTCAAAGACTTTGCGGTCTTTATTAAGGTTAAGCTATAATTTCCGTTTGTACATACAATCCAAAAATAGAAATGAAAAATTAAAGTTACATTTTGAAAGATTCTCTTCTCACATTATAATTTCGACCGCATCCACCTATAAATTGTTATGTTTTAACCTAGTTCTTCCCTATATATATATTAATTTTTATTTCATTCGTTTATTACGTTTATGCTGCCTGACCTACAAGTATTTCTATCCCAAATAAGAATATTATGAACTTATTTAATATTTTTTCTTTTCATAAACTTCAACCTCATTTAGCCAAAAGGTAACTAAAATGACAAAGGCCAGTTGCTATTTACACCAAATCAAAACTTCTCTATATAAATACTTTTCAACATAACTAGTTAAAAACTAAGAAAAACTTATTGCACAATTTTCCGCAGAGCGACTCAATCTATAAATGACACAGAAGTCATAAACAATTAGGAAGTTGTTTCTCAATTAACAGAAACTTTTTTAGCAGCTCGAAATACCCAACAGAAATCAATAAGCGAGAAAAAGTATAGTTTTAATCTCCAAATATCAAAAGTTTAGTGAGAAATAACGAACTGCGCAAATAAACTCAGCGAGGGAAGAGTAGCAAAGATGAAGCAGGGCGTAGTATAAATCTGGCAACATACTTGTAGGTAAGAAGGTGGTTATAATTGACTCTGGCATATGAGGTTCAGAGTTGACAATAATAAAATTTCAAACCATTAATCGGCAGTTCAGTTAAGAGCTTAAATTTGGAAAAACCACATAAAATTTGATTTGATTAATAAAAGATAAAAACATTTTTTTTTAAATTCCCTTATAATTCCTCCTTTGGGAACTGGATATCTGCACACAATTTACTTTGCTGCCAATAAAGCCTTCTTGCCTACTTCTTAATATAAATATTCTTACCTCTGGGGACACAAAGTAACTGGGACTCTTTTCGATCGTAATTTGTCCACGAAACGAGTGTGGCATTTTCTTGCGATACCACTCCAATCCTTTCATGTAGTTTTCATCACGATCGAAGAAATGAACTTCGCCACCGGCTTTTTGTATGCGAGGATGAAGATACAGCATTTCTAGGAGAGCGCGTGTGCCACACTTTCGAACGCCGATTATAAGAGCCTGAAAGAGAGTTAATTGAAAAATTAAAACAAAAAATTTAATTTAAAAAAGTGAAAAGTATTGCCAAAATCAGAATTTGAAACAAAAAATGTTTAATAACTAAAATTGCAGTTTATTAACATATGTTACCTGCGGCAATCGTCGGCTCGTTTTCGGAAAGTGCACACGATTCGAAGGAAACACCATTGGATGACTAATCTGATTCGAGGAGGGTACAGCGGCCAATGCTGCTGCCGCAGCCACAGCAGCTGCGGCGGGTTTGATGAATTCTGGTAAATGATTATTGTTGATGTTATTAGCGCCAGCACTACCACTACCACCCGCGCTGCTCAACAAACGCAGCCGATGACGTTCGGTGAGGACTTGTGCTGCTTGTATATTATATACAGCGCTATCGTACAGTACATGGAAGGTGAGGAATAGTGATATTAACATAACTGTTAGAAAGACTACAGCTAATTTCGGACGGGAGACACCAACAACCAGTATGCAGTCGGTGTGCGAGGCGTCAGGCCCCACTGGCCGCATTGCAGATTTTGGTAACCATCTGGAAGAAGCAAAAATGAGTGTGTAAATTAGTTGAGTTGGAATTTAAAATCTATTTTGGAATTTAAGTAGTTAATTATTATAAACTTAAATTGTTTTTTGTCGTACCAAAGCATTCAATATGTAAGAGGCAGTGGTTGTAAAGCTCTTGATATTGTATAAGTAAAGTTATATCTATAACACTATAATGAAGTGGCATAAATTGAATAAACTTAAAGGTGCTAATTTGAAAACAATAACTTAGGTTTTATCTATATCTTAAACAAGAGCATCAATCTCACAGCTTTTAATCTTTTAAGCTACTTTAGTCTACCGCCATATTATATCATATTCCTCTATTCTACTGTATTCTTATTCTAGTTATAAATATGTTAATTAATAAATTGAAATCCGCATGTGTTTATAAGTATATAGATTACGTATCAATCGATACGCTACCATTATATTAATGACTTATTAATATATGCTCTTCAATGCTATCCAGCTGTCATTAATTCTATTAAGAACCAAAAGTCACTATTATCATTCTAAATGACAGCAGGTGAAGTAGTTTGGTGTACCCTCATTTGAATACATGCTTTTGTAAGAATTAGAGCAGTTGTAATGTACATTAGGGTAGCTAATTTAATTTTTGTTATAAAAGCTTTGATTGAACATTTAAAAAGAGTAATTTTGAAACAAATTTTGCTATCTCCTCCAATGCTGCAGTGATTTCGGTCTTCACTGTGGATGAAATCTAAAAGGAAATTCTCGTTAAACTAGAAGATATAATATTATCAGTACAGTGATCTACGGTCAAAATCACAAATAGACAAAATCGCGGCGTTTCTTTAAAAAATGGAATTTTACCTTAAATTTTACTCGTTTTCAACCTGTCAAAATTCGATTTTTGCTTAAATCAAAAAAACTCGAAATAAGTTAAACTAAGCGATATACTTTTCAATAGCAGAAATCATGGTAATTTTTTTAAACTCCGAATTTATTATTTGAATTTTTTTTACTTAAATTTAATTTAATATATTTTTCTTTGTGCCATTCGGCTCACCTTAATAATTGTTAGGTATAAATATTCGTTTATATATGTACAATAGCTATGCGTGTGTATGCATTTCTCCGCATTGACTTTCAAACAGCAAAAAGTTTCGCTGATAAACTCACATCCATTTGGTTAATTAATTGGCTTTATATGTAGGCATGTTGATTGACATAATTGAAGACATTCGGGACTTAAATGAAATATGCGATTTGAAAGCGAACTTATAGGTGAACGCATATACCATACGTATATAATAACGACACTGCCGCAAGATATTAACATTTCGGATTGAAACTGATTTGTCATGTTAATGTCAAGGTGATACAAGATCGATGAAAGAAAGTCAAAATATAAATAAAACAAAGCGGTAATTTACCTTAACTACTAGTATTAATCACGCATTTCATTTATTACTACTTCAATTCTTTAATATTTGACTCTAAGAGATTTATAAATTATGACTTGCTTTAAAAGCACTTAATGATAGCATCTACAATTCAATAACTTCTAACTTACTCTTGGTATATCATTATTACGAAAATAAATATTTCATTTGATTGCGTTAGGTTAGACGAATCTGATAGGGTAATAAGCCTTGGTCCTTAACCAGTGTGGAGCAGTCATCATTAAGATCGAGAACGTCATATAAACAATGCGTGAATTTAGCAATGTCGGTCATATTTTTGATTGATAGCCGAAAACTACTCTTGCCAGTCGCGTCCAATATATCGTTGCCCTCGATGACTTAGCACCCACTAGAATTGAATTTGCTTGTCCTTGGCGAGACTCTATTCTAATGCTACTGCCCTTTCGCTGATATCTAAAACGAGGTTATTGCCTTGATTGCTGCTTGACAGTCCACGTAGATATTACATATGGAGTTGCCTAATAATAGCAAAAACCTCTGCTTCAAATATACTGCAGGGGACAAATATACTAAAGCCACTTTTCCTCGAAAGCCAACATATTAAAGCCAAATAACGGCATGCTTTCATTTTTACAACTAATTTGGAATTAAGAGTATAATAATATATTTGTCTCGGTTTAAATAAAGACAAACTTTTTTTTTCAAATTTTTATACCATTTTTGTGTTTTTTTTTTTGTTTTTCCCTGAAATATACTTCAGTATCGTCGCTCACTCTTCTTTTCTCTGACAGCAAGCATTTTTTTAAAGCCTGAGAAAGGTGAGGTGTATGGAATGGTAGAAAAAGTCAGTCATATGCTATTTTGCCATAGTTTTTATTGAGTTTTAACACTGTGAATCTGTCGATAGTGATCTCGAGCGGCACCTACTTTGCACGGAGCTTTTACTAAACCGAAAATATAATAAATGTCCGACACATTCTTTTATTATCTATGTGTTCTCAACTTTATCGTGCAACTTAATTTTACCAAAAACACTTTGTGTATTTTTTGTTGTTGTCACCCGAAATAGTCTCTTTTCAACGCACATTGGGTTCACCGTCGTCGATTTCTTACGTATGTAGAGAATTTAATAGAGTATTGCCGGATAAATGTTTATCCCTTCGTCTGACGCGCAGCTCAGAAATCCCTCTTTAATTACTTTATAGTATCAGCAACATGTTGTTTCCAAAACTTGCAGTTTTTGTAACAAACAAAATTTTTTTTTGTCGCTTTTATGTTTTTACTTAAAATACAATATGTAACTAACCAATTGTTCAAAAGTTTTGAAATTTTTACACATACCAATTAGATTAGATTCGACTATAAAATATCGAAGTTCCATTTTAATGGCTAGTATCATAGCTTCGGTGCAACCAAAGTTAACATTTTTTTCTTCTTTTCTAAAATTAGCCCTATAGTTCTCATTCGCGTCTAATATTTCTTGACTATCACATTTATGGAATTTGACCACTTAGGTCACATATTTTCTGTTTTGAGTAAAATCTAGCATACCTTTCTGCTATGTTATTTAGTACAACTCTAGTTTATACTCTGTATTTTTAGAAAACGTTTATGAGAAAATTTTATGGACACCAAATTATATGTTTGAAAATAAAATCTAAATTTTTCCTCAACATATTGCAAATAAATAATATTTATACAAAAAAAAAAAAAAAAAAAAAAAACTAAGTATATGAACTAAATTTTTTAAGTAATTTGTTTTTTGTTATATAATAATAATTTAGAATATTTTTAAATTTAAAGTTAACACATTAACAACATTATATACATATATACAACCGCTTGCCCGTCCATTCACTTTCTAATCGTTTTAAATTACTCTATAAAGAAATGCTTCTGCCCAAGTTGGAGAATCCACTTAAACACACATGTAAAATGTGCCTTAATCATAATTACGTAATTCTCGAGGCGAACACTTTGCACACACACACCCAGCCAGTTGCAAGCTGTAATTATGTTTGTGTGTATTGCATACGTGTGGCAACGTTAATGACTAAAATGTGTTTAATGTCTAGCATGTATGTAAGCAGATGTGCGTATTCTATAAAGAAGTGCACGCTGTGATGTAACTATCAAACATACAAATACACACACACACACAAATTTGTCTAACGTCAAAGAGTAAAAGTCACTTACAACGACACGGCAACTAGCAATTAGACAAGCGGCGCGTAGTTAAGGCTTTCAACAAACAACTTCAAAATATTTACTACAAAGGTGGCAAGGAGTGTGTAGCAACTCTTTAAGTGTGTGGGTGGCTTAGTATGTGTGATTGTGGCGGTATAGTGCAAGGGCTAGAAGAACTACTTGAGGGCGACATAAAATTACAATGAATGCACATACATACATACTTCTTCGTTATATGAGTATATATATGTATGTATGTGTATATGTATGTATATATGTGTATATGTATGTATATATAGGAATGCGTAGAAAAATTGCCGGTTAGCGAACGCCAAGGCAATGCAGAAGCAGCAAGTAAGTTATACAACTGAAGTGTGTGTATGTTGCTGGAAATAAAGTTGTTCGCGCCTGTAGAACCTGGCCAAGTATCCAACAATATGTGTCGGCACAGACACATGTGCCACATACTTATATAACACTTATGCAATGCTGGCACCGAGTACTTACCCACACATAAGCGCAGTTGTAAGCATATACTCAGCATTCCTGCATTACAATTTCGGCTTTTTTCTTTTTCCCCCATTTTGTGGTCACAAGGAGTTTAAAGGAGCGCACAGCCACAATAACAGCAAATAGAATGCAAGACTGAGACGGTATGAAAATGAGAATGAAAATGGCAATAACAACAACAAATACGCTAAAAGCTAGCAAATTTATTGTTGTTTTTATTAGGGCAAACTCGGGACTTGCAAGGAGCTGTTTGTAAAAAAAAATCAGGATAGTAAAAGAAGGTAGAAAATAAGGGAACCATAGAAAATAAAAGCGTAAAAGCATAAAAGAAAGTGCTGGTGCCATTATTCGCTAGCACGTGCTTATGTGTGTGTGTGTATGCACGGCTATGTGTCTTTAGCATAATTATGCATGTGTGTGTGTATGTATGTGTAAATGAGTGCACCTACGTGTCGGCTATGTAAAGGGGTTAATATACAGTTTGCCTTGCAGCGATAGCAATAACAATGCGCTAGCACTTAGCAAGCAGCAGAGCAGCAATGGGAACATTGCCGCTGGCGAATCTCGACGACACGTTAGTCAGAGTCATCAGAAGCTGCTCGATATGCGACAACAACAATTCGCAAGTGACAACCGGCGACGTCATTGCACTGTAATGGAGTCACCCAATTTACTTGAGTTGAGCTACACACACAACCAGCAACATATCTACCTGGATATAGGTATATGTGTGTATATATGCTGGCATAAATAAGTTAAAAGATAAATGCGCTTACACTTATATAAGTATATATTAGGTTGGGTAAAAAAACGATTTTTTTTCGTTTTTACTCTGAAAAATAAGTTCATAGACACCACTTAGCAAATCTCTTCAAGTATGAGCTCTTACACCGTAAATCTC